CGGGGCTTTAGTTTCCTCACTGCTATGATGGGGGCCGTACGTGCCTGGAACAGCTCCCAGCACAACTGGGGACTCAAATGAGACAGCCTGAGTGGAAGGACTTCTTCATTAACACTAAGTGCCCGAGCCCAGGTAGAACGGATGCTAGTCCTGCTGTCTTCTCTACTGAGCTCGGGAGCCGTGGACCCATCCCTGGCCCACCTAGGCCTCTGTCTCTGAAGATGACAAGGGCTGACCTTGTAGGAAGGAGCAAGTCATCTTTCTTTATAAAGCACCTATTATTCTTCCTCGGATCTTTACCATCATCCCACAGAATGAAGCCATCACAGGCAAGGAGGTGTTTGCAGAGCCAAGCTGCGCTGGTTCCACTCTAGGCTTTGCTGTTTACTGACTGTATGATCTGGGGCAAGTTCCTTAATGATTTTTCATGTTGGTTTCCTCCTTTGTAAAGAGCAGTAATTATGGCACCTGCTTCCTATAGAGAGTGTGGGGGTTAAATGAGAGGATACGTGACAGACACTGAAGCACAGTTCCTGGCTCACAGTAAGCACTTAATTGGCCACTATCGTCATCATTATGGTTTTTACTTTTGTTAATTTTTATAATGACCATACAGTAAAACCAACTTTTTTTTGGTATACAGTTCCACAGACTTTCGCAGATGGATAGACTCATGTGGTCACCACCAAAAGCAGGATGCACAACAGCACCATCACACAAAAAACTCCCTTGTGCTCTTTCTCTATAGTCAAATTGTCCCCTCACCCCTGATCCTAGCAAACACGGGTCTGTCCTTTATCGCTACAGTCTTGTCCTTAGAGAATGTCATATAATTATAACTACCTGGTATGTCTCCTTTTGAGCTTGGCTCCTTTTGTTGAGCATAATGCCTTTGAGATACACCCAAGTCATTGCATTTATCAATACTTTGTTCCCTTTTTTTGGTGAATAGTATTCTATTGTATGGCTCATCTGGAGTTTGTCTAATCATCATAGTTTTAATAATTATTTTTATAAGCCAAGGAAAACTTCAGAAATAGAGCCAGCCAACCATCACTACCAGGTCCTAGGAATTCCTGGGAAAATATCTAGTAACTGCTTAAAAGTTCTGACTCATAGTGACAAGGATCCCAGAGGTCCACACTTGACAGACACTGGAACAGAAACCCAGGAATAACTTCCTTAATCCTACACAGGACGAGACTGGAGGGTGGGTCTCATTCTCCTTCTTTGTGTGAAACACATCCCAGATCCTGGGAAGAGGTGCTTATAAGCAGAAGGGTCCTTCTGCAGCCCTCTTCCTGGATAGGCAATATCCAGTTCTGGAGCCCTGGAGCCCTCCATGCTTCCCTGTGATTGCCCTTTCTACTGCCTGTCACTGTGCAACATTTATCCATGGAAGCCCACTTGACCTCAGCCCAATTTCCCTTCCTGAGACCGTAACACGGCAATCTGACCAGGAAGTGATAGTGGGCGTGGAGTTCTGGCTGGAACTGACCCTGCCTTTAATGGATTACAGCATTTCAGCAATCATTAATAGTCACAATGGCAGCTTTAACCCAACTCAGACTCACTTCCCAGCTGGTCATGTACTACTTCAAACCAGCTTCTCTAAAGCAGGATGAAATTTTACATCGCTCCCCTCTGGGGCTTCAAGGCTCCTGTCCTTAACCGGCTCCACACACAAGCCGAGTTCCTGTCACATTCTCCACAGAAAGAGAAGCTCAGGGCCAAGGGAGATCTCACCAGTCAACTCTGGGCTAGAATGCATTTTCCTGGAACCACAGGTCTCTATTGAAGCGGTGGGCTAGATTCTCCCCTCCACCCTCTGAGGTCACTGAAGGCGGGGTAGGGTGGGAGAGGACAGGGAGAGGGAGAAAGAAAAGAGTGAGCACGAGTGCCCTCGGTGCTATGCCCTCCCACCCCGGCTCACCCGCTCAGGAGGACGCTGGCTGCCTTAAGTGAAGACCTCTCCGCTCCCTATGGGGCTGAACTACTGGAACCCTATTGTGGCATTTCATCTGGAGCCTGAGCATATGAGTAATAAATGTGTGAAAACATGAAACTAATATTCATAATTACTTTACAAGATAAAGAACTTGAAGGAAAAACAGCTTCTGTGTGCCTTGCCATTGCCATCGGGGGTACACTGTGAAAAACACGGCATCCTGCCAGAACCTCAGACTTCATCTCGCCAGCCAGCCTTAGTGCCGGCGGCCCTCAGCCCCCGCGAGCCCTTTCCATGCTTCATTATTCCTTAATTAATGGTGCCTTCACGCATCTCATCATCCAGACTTTTTAAAGCCTCAAAGAGCCAACGGGGACCTCTGACCTTCTCATCTCCAATGTCCGTTTAGGTGCCATTTTGGCCAGCATTTATGAACTACCAACGGGTGTAGGCTCCAGCCTCCAGGAGGGAGGGTTAGAGAGTCTGCACTCATGATATTCTGTCCCTGACCCTCTTGGCCCCCTAGGTTCAGTATCTCTTTTTCTCCCCATTTTTTCTTTTCTACTGAGGTATAACTTATGTACAATAAAGTATACCAATTTTAACTGTATGCGTCACTGAGTTTGAAACAGGTATGTACCCACGTAACCATAAATATCTCCAGCACCCCAAAAGTTTCCCCTAGGCCCCTCCTAAGAACATATCCTCTCCCAAGTTATGACCAGTTTTATCACAGAATTATTTTCAGTTTAGGTTCTCATTAGCTCTCCCCTAAATTACTGCTAATTAGCTTTTTAATTATTGGGCTGCCTTCTTCTGGACCTTGCTTTCCTCAACTCATCTGTCCTATACTGCCAGATTTATAGTCCTAAATTACAGCTCCACGGCCCTTTGAAGGGCTGCCCTGTTATTGCGTACAAACTCTCCCACTGCCAGTCCCCGTCCACCACCCTATGCCGGCTCTGCTCAGTCCGAGGGACCCAATTCCTGTTCTGCCAGCACCCCTACTGCTCCTACACTCTGGGCCTCCTCTTCTCTCCCACGCAGCACGACACAGCCAGCCCATGCCACAGATCCACACCCAACTTCCATCTTTCAGACCCGAAGCCATCTTTCAAAGCCATTCTCATCAAAAAACCTTTCACTGACTCCTCACACAAAAGTTGTCACTTCTTCCTTGGAGGATCCATATTACCATTCTTATCTTTTCGATGGCATTACCATTATCCTTGAGACAGAGCTTCCTATGTGCATGTGTTTACATTCTTATATCCGTGCTAGATTTTTCAATTTCTTGAAGACCAGCTTCTAGGATTCTAGGATTTCTCTAATTACTAAAGCTTTAAAAGAAAACTGGGAAGGAGAAGGAATAACCTAGGGTTCCCAACTTCTTTAATAAACAGAGAAGAAAAAAACCGTCATCCACTCTCAAAATCTTTTCAAGAAAGCAGAGACACTGGAGAGGACATAATATCAGAAATAAAATGGTAAGATGGTTCTTCAAATTGAATACACGTGATTTATGAAAAACTCACTACACTGCCTTCATTTTTCATACTTGGCTATGCCTGAAGAAAATTCTCATAGACCAACTGGCTTCTGTTTCTAGAAACCACTGCCTTGTAGTTCCTACTAAAGCTCTGTGTACCCACAAAGTGCTCAATAAATGTTTAGTTCAAACGTCTAGTCACTGGAAATCCTGTGGTTGGAAGACAAGGAGTGTTTGAGCACTGCTTCTGTTCCAAAATGGCAGTGGGTTGTCCAAATCCTAATGATGAGAAGGACCACAGGATCTATCCACGCTCACGGTCAGACCCACATGTGACAAAGTCAAACAGCCATTCCAGTGTGTCACAATTCCAGCACCCAAGTGATGACTCAGGCAGGCAGTGGACTCTGCCACCGGCACAAATCTCCACTTAGGGCATCGCCTAATAATGAACTTCTGAAGTGTGTGTTAGGGAGAGCTGGGATTGGAGCGCGAGGAGACAGGACCACCACAGATGGCTCCGCAGCTCGTGCAAGGGGTAGGGTGCCTGGGAGAGTAAGCACTGAGAAATGCAACCTGGCCCGGGGTGAATCTACCCACAGCAACCCATTCTCTTCTAGTTTGCACTAAGATCCAAGACTCCATTAATTCAGACTCTGATTTAAGTTCGGGCCCAAGAATTTATTGTCAAGTCAGATATACACATCAGGGTGAATGAAGTTTATGATGTGTTAATTATATCTCAATAAAGCTGTTACCCAAATGTAGGTGTACAAACACACGCAGCTAAGTAAACACTTATTCAAGAGCCAACAAAGAAGGAAGATTGCATGAAGAAGGGGATGATAAAATATTTAAAGAAATAATTTTAATTGCCATTTCGACATGAAAATTAAAAAAATATTATGAAATTCATTAAAATTGCTTCATTAAGGACTTCTATCAAGAATTCTTTCAAGTTTTTATTACTGTTTTAAAATATATATTCTATCCAGCTATCAAAAAATTATCCTACACATCTTTGACTAACCTAGCCTGACTTTTTCCTATTAGTTCAAATTGGTGTTATTAGTTCAAATGGTTCTCTTGAACTTTTCACTTGAAAGGTAGAGAAATTTATAGCCAGCAATAACTGCAGTGTCTATAGATACAAAAATTAAATCTAAACAGCACACACAGCCCAAACTCCTTTTTGGTCATCCTCTGATGGGACTGTCTATGATCTGGGATAAAAACTGTAAATATACTTCATTCAATCACTCATTGAACAAAGATTTATGGACTTCCTACCATGCCCCACATCTTGGATCAATTTTCTTTGCACATCCTCAGCATTTTATAAGTTTTCAGATGTAACTCATGTTTTGAAACCAACTCTGAATTATGACTGAATGACCGAGGAAGATACTGGTAGAATTTGCTTTTCATAAGAACAGAATTTTGTGCTCTAGGAATGAGCTGTCCATCATAGAAGACCATGGTACCATGCAGGTGCCTGGCTCTCAGAACAGATTCTCTTCCTGCTCAGCAGGGATGCCACACAGCAGCAAGCTGTCTCCTTACCTGTATGGTAGTGTTGCCTCCTTCCAGGAGGGCAATGGCCAGGAGAATGCTTTCATGAAACACTCGGTCACTGGACGCATTCATTATGAGGTCGATGACCAGATTGGAGGCACCCTCCTTGTCGAGGTGGCACTGAACTTCAGCCAGGCTCATCTCACCCCTACTCGTGGAGCTGGACCCAGAGCCTCCCCCTGGGAAGATGGAATATTGCTCTTATTAACCACAATCAGAGTCTGTATTGCATACTTACTATGCACCAGCACTTAATGCACTAAATGTTTTAACAGTATGAGCTCTTTTAACCTTCTTAAAGACCCCACAAGGAAGGTACTAATTATTAGCACAGAGATGAAGTCACTTGTCTTTGAGGAGGACACCCAGCTTGTAACAGAGATGGTATTTGAATGCAGGCAGGTAGGTAAGATGAAAAACAACGTATTTCCAGCAAGAGACCTACAGCCATCGAGCCAAGACTCTCCCTGGTATTAAAATACAATGACTTGGTGCAGAATTATTAAGAAACTTTTGAGTTCAAGAGACAAACTGAACTTATACATGTCTTAGAACACTCTTAAGAAAATATAGCCTATAACAATCACTTTAGCCCTGTTTCTAACAAACCCACTCTAGCCCCAAACTCAACACTTCACATAATTTATCTGTTCATTCATTCATTCAATAGTTACTCAGTGCTTGGCATGGAGCCAAGAGCTGGGGCTAGAGATCAAATTCCCACCCCCACTGAGCTTGAGATAATATGAATAAACTTAAGAAGACAGGGCCTATGCCGTTTAGTGGAATGGATTCCAACTGTGTTTAGAATGTGCCTACATAAGAACTTGCCTTGCATTATTATTGGCAATAACTGAAATGTTAATGTACACGGGGACACGGGCTGATCAATTTCAGAGAGAAGAAAATCATCTGCCAGTCCTTCCCTGCAGACCTCAATTCAAATGCCACCTCCTTTGCACTGCTTGTCTTAACTACCTAGATCCATTATATCCATAGTGCAGAGTAGAAATTGGGTTGCGTCTCTTCTCTCTTACAACTTTTTTAAAGCAGAAACGGTCTCTGATGCATTTCTAAAACACCCTCAGAAGGCCTCCCCAGGGCCTCCCATATTTGTGGAATGACTCCACTACAGAAAGTAAAGAGAAATAGTTTTGAGATGTTATGTGAGGAACTTCTGCTTGAGAATCCCTGGGATCTTGCAGATGGAATGCTAAGGTCCTGTTCCTGGGACACTCTAAGAGCTCTATCTTCACTGAAGCTGTACAGCCCCATGAAGTGAGTAGATAGGCTTCAAGTTTTCATTTGGTGAGAAATTCAAGACCCCTTCCCAGATATTGCTAGAATAACTTTATTCATCACCAAGTATTTTGGTGCTACCTACAGAATGCCCCCAAAACCTATAGTGCATAACAGTCATCATTATAGACAAGGAATCAGACAACTCACATTTGTGCTTCCAGCGAGCACTGAACTCCTGCCCTCCCCACTTTAAAACCCAAACCAGTACCCACAGTTGAGTTCAACGTTCTTGCAACTTTTGCTGTAACTGTGCTTACAATGTTTTGCAACCTCTTTGAGGATTTTTTTTTTAAGCAATTCTATAGAGGCTTTCCTTTTCTTTCTTTTTTCTTTTCAGTAAACTCCCTTCAGAGTTTGGGAGGAACACAGCATAGGCATTAGAATTAGACATATCGAGGTTCAAATTATAGACCAGTCACTAACAAGCTTCCATTTTTCTTCTGTTAAAAAGGGATAACAACAGTACCTGCCATACAATGGGATACTTGGAGGAGCAAACAAGAAGGTCAAATGCTTGGGAGAGCCCCTGGCACTCAGTAGGTGTACAATAAATGGTAGTTTTCACCATCTTCACTGCTAACACCATTGTTATTTAATGGGAAGAATGAATCCTCACAAGCACAAGAAAATGGGGAGTAAAATCAAGTTCCTTGTGTCATTCAAAAATCACCCAGAGGGTTGCTGTACTGGAAAGAGGGGCAAAATACTTAGCCAATATCTAACTGCAGGGAAATATTTTTAGATATCATTTTGATGGTAGACCAAAGACAAAACAAGTTGCTAGAAAACACACTTGCCACCCAAATTCATCTGTTAGTTTCAACCTGTTAAGGAGAAACATGTAGCTCTCATGTGGCACACTCGATTCACACGTGCAGCTAATTAGCACACCACACAGCCTACCTCCTCCCCCAGGCTTGCTGGGTCCTCCTGGTGACAGCGGGCCATTGCCAAAGCTGGTGAGGCTTTCTCTTCTTCCTGAAGGTCTGATGTTTCCATAGTAACGGTTGACCAAAATTTGCCTGAGCGCCTCACCCTTAATTCAAACAGGATAATGAAATCAGGTTCTGAATTTAATGCATAACTGAGCTACTAATACTCAAAAAACATGGAGGTACTCAGTTATAATTGGCTCAGTTTCACTCGGTGAAAAAACAAATTATTAATAAAAGCACTTGGAAACTCTGAAGTTAACTTCTTCAATATTTTCTCAGGAAAGCACATCATTAAAAAAAAAAGCAGCAATCTAGAATATTAAATATCTCAAGTTCTCTCTCTCACAGTGATAAACACAGAACATTAATTCTGAAGGGCAACTAACAATAACAAAAACGAAAAAGTCCCTTTGGGGTAAGCCAATAAAACTCAGACAAAATGAGAATTTTACAGGTCACCTTTCACATAGCAAAATAAAAATGTTACCCCAAGCATAGGGTCTATTCCCAATATTGTAAGAAAATATTAAGATATAAAAGTAATACTGCACAATGATATAATGAGCTGAAAGTAAGCTTTTCTTATAGAAACAGTCAGTGGGTTGAGTGGTGAAGAAAAAATAATGCTATAGAAAATAAAGTAGGGGCAGATATCAGACATACCAATCAAAAAATAAGCACCATGAATGAAATGAGTTTGACATTTGCTTTGAAATAATAAGGGAGGGGAATAGGTAAGGGATATAGATATGAGCAGCCAGTTGATAGTTGCTGAAGCTGAGTTAGGAATGTGGGTTCTCAAAACTCTTCTAGTTCTTCTTGTATGTATTTGAACCTCTCCGTAATACAATGTTTTAAAAATGTAACTATCAAAGGAATCTTGGACAGAAGACGTAACAACTCTTCCCCACAACTCCAACCAAAAAAATAAATAAAACCGCGATTTGTTCTCTAATACTAGGGGACGTTAGCAAAGCAGCACAAAGCAGCGAGATTTATTCTCAGCTCTATTCTACGTTCAGTCCTGCTAAGTGTCTCCCAGACCACCTCCCGGTCTGGAAGTTTCTAAAAGTCAGAGGCTGTATGGTTCTCCCCCAGAGTCTTTCCCAGGGACAAAGTAGTAAGGCACGGAGTTCCTCTGGCATATCATCAGGAGAGGTGAGTGAGAAGTCTAGCAGAGGGAAGGGGTGCTAAGATATAGCAGGTGTCTAAAATAGAGGCTCAAAAGTTCTTCTGAAGAGACCTGCAATGGTAACATGAGTCAGTAGAATTTAAAGTGATTTGTTAATAAGCTCCAAGAATAGGTCTGGAGACTTCAAGTGGGGTGTCTGCAAAACAAGATGGGAGGGAGCAGACGGGAGGGCGAGAAGGGCCCTGAGAGGGGCAAGGAGGCTGGGGTGCCAGGGGAACACGGCACCAGGGAACAAAGGAGAAAGGCAGAAAACTCCTTAGTTTGGCGTCAAAATCACGTAAGGTCCCAGGGCTACACTGTCAAGTTTTTCTTCTTTCTTAATTCATGCTGCTGGTCAAAGACTCGAGGAACAAACTGGGATGGGATAAATCGGGGGGGGCAGTACTGATTTTTAATTCAAAGTTCAGGAAATGGAAAAAATCTCTATTTTCTTCTCTACATTCCATCCACAAATATGTCTCTCATTGTAGTTCAGCAAAGGAGGGTGCTTCTATTAGCTCATGAGATTTGTTACCCACCTTGACTAACTGTAAATACAAAATTCCGAGAGTGCTTCCAAAGGGGAAGCTATTTATGAGGTTTTCACGTACTTTTTAAATAGACTGCAATTGGCACAATATTCTTTAATGGCTTAGAAAACCACATTTTGTTATAAAGATATAGCTTTGCTGGCGTTTTCGTCTCCAGCACCAAAACAAACACATCGATGGTCTCCAAAGCAGTCAGTGAGAGCATGGTGATCTAAAGGCTGACTTCATAAGATGAGAGAAATACAAATTTCAAAGGATCATTCACAGAAGCTGACCCAGAAAGAAAAAGGGGAAAGAAAAAGTTACCTCCATGCTGAATGTAACAGGAGATTAAATATGATTTTCTTTTTTCAACATAATGATGTATCAGTTTGATTTTCTTTCAGTAACATACAGTGTTTGAATTCCCACAATAGGGAATGGTTGGCAGTAAACCATCCTAACTCTCTAACTGGATCCCTCTGGGCATCACAAGAACATTGTTTGAGAGACAGATGGGCGGGCTGAGGCCTATGAGCTGCAACTGCTCAAGACAGCCAATGTAGCCATCCTGGCAAGCGTCTGGAAGATGGAAGATGGAATGGTCAATTCAAAGGCAGGGTGACCATGACCAACCAACCAACCAACACACGTCTTTTAGGAAGTCTCAACTACAGCTTTTACACTCCAATTCCGCTTCAGGGAGGAGCAACTCAGTTAGATTTTCCGATCCTTAGCTTGAGGGCAATTGGCAAGACTATGGTCAGTTTGCCATCAAGCAAGCAGGAGGTAAAGGAACACATGTCATCTGGGAGCACGTGGACTCCAGGCACAGGAACTTCACATTTATGCAGCCTGGATGCCAACTGAAGCTACAAAGGGATCTCACATTACCATTTTGTCTCTCCTTCCACAGAAAAACCCTAGCAGTTACCATAGCAACTGATGCATCAAATGGTACATTTTCCCCCATAAGAGAATATCATGAAATGTGCTAATTATGGAAAAACACACACACATACATTCTATCCTACAAACTTTTATTTTTTTTTCCTTCTTAATTATAAGGCTTTTGGCACATATTCACCTCACCTTCTTTCCACACACACAAAAAAGTTTAAGCTGAAAGGGAAAAAAAACCACAGAGCATGTGGGATTTGCCTTTTTTTTTTTTAAACAAGTTGAGATTTATTCCTTTTCTGAAAGAATAAAGACTGATAATTTTAGGTAAAAAGGGAAAAAGAAAATGGACAACATTATAAAAAGTTATGCAAATCCTTAGTGTAAAAACTTAGGTTTGAGAAAAATTCTGTTTTCTGAGCCAGTGGTTTAATTTAGGAAAAATTAAAATCTGCAGAGAGAAGCCTTCCTAATCATCATGATATAAATTACTCAAGAGCACAAAACTCCTCACAGCGTACTAGGATCAGAAACCCGATTGCAGAAAAGGAAAAAAAAAAAAAAGACTCCCCAAATAACATCACTTCTGAAATTTTAACATTTGGCCATGCAATCCCCCCCACTTCTTTTTAAATAACATTAATTTTTTTTTCCAGAAGTTTACACCTATAGTATGCAAACAGATATCAGATGTTTGTCTCTGGTAAGAAATTCCACACACACATTATTACCTAAGCCTGAGAAAAGGCAAAGGCCAAGAGTTTCTTTTGTAGTAAGTGTCATTTTAGAACAGTGAAAATGGTAGTTCAGTGATGTAGAGTAATGAAACCAAGCTCCTACCTTGCAGTTTGGTTCAAACAAGTTTCATTTCTATCAGTTCGACTGAATGACTAATGATTTGTAGGGACAGAGACAAGTGCCGAATAGGGCACTAAGGAGTTAATATTGCCACATAGGTACAGGAGAGAAAAAGTGACCTTTTTAGCTTCCTAGGTTCCAGCAACTTGAAAATCACGTGCTGCAGGAAAGATCACCCTCTCTCACATGAGTGGTGAGCCTTTCACACTTTAGTCAGCACTAAGGTCGCGCCTCAATTTAAAAATACCTTCCTTTGCTACTATTGTCTACCAAATCAATTGAAGTGTTTCAGTCTGCAAGGTAACTACAATAGTTAATATCCCTTGTCATATTCCAGACATTGTGCTAAGTGCTTCGTGAGCACAGCTCAGCAGGACAGTCTTAAGGGGCAGAGGCTATTAGTATCCCCATTTTACAGCAGAAGAAACTGAGGCACAGGGTGGATATATAACTTGCTTTAAATCACACAGCTAGGGCTTGGCACAGGGAGACCTGAACCTCTTTCTAATTCCAAAGCTTATGCCCTTATGTAGCATTCAGTACCGTGTCCCCTGAGAACTTAGGGCATGAGGGATGGCTATGTGTCTTTTCCAGCTACTTTTAAGGCCTGTGGCAATTCTTAAAGCACAGGTATGGATGGAAAACACAGGAATGCAAGGGGCCCTTGGTCGACTAACTGCCAGAGACCCAGGATGCTGAGGGGAAAGGCTAAATGCCAGCTCCCCAGGAGCTGTTCTTTGGTCATAGCCTGAGAAATTACAATCAAAGAAGAATGCAAAGAATTTGGGATGTGGTGGGATTGAGCAGGGGCTGGAGCATGTGAGCAGAACAAAGGTGCACGGGGCCACACATTCATCTCAGGCATAAATCCTCCAGGACACTGATGACCACAATTCCAAGGCAGTCTTTGTTATAACTGCTCATGTTCTAACCGCATGACCTTAGGTAAAGTACCTCATCTTCCTGTGTCTTAGTTTCCTAATATGAAATGGGGATGAAGGCTGTGTCACTGAGTCAATGTCAGCATTAATAAAAATTAAATTGATGAGTTAACATATGTAAAAGTCTTAGCACAGTAACTGGCATATGATAAATACTCAGAAATCCAGGATATCTCGTTATCTTCCAAAAATGAGTAACATGAATTGGTCAGCATGCTAACGATGTAGATGAGCCTTGCAGAAAATGGTTTGGCAATGCATAATGAGCACCTAAAGAAAGTATCTCTCCTTTGGCCTAAGAATGCCCTTCTAGGAATCTCCCCAAAGATGTACCCATTTCTTCATTTCTTCATCAAAGGAAAATATTACAAACCACTTGTTCATTTGTGGAACTTCAGACAGCTATTAACTTTCAGACTTTCAAAGAAAATCATCATACACAATATTAAATGACAAAAGCAAGGTACAGAAGTTGTACACTTAGAATAATCCCAAGGACAAAGAAAATGTTCGTTGGCACGTATACACACCTGCGTAAAAAAAGTGGGCAGAGGAAATATTATATCATTAGCTGCTTCTATAGCTGAGTAATATAATTGTGAACTTTTTATTAAACTTTTTTTGCTTATTATAAATTAACCATAATGATCATCAGTCACTTGCAGAAAAAAACATTTTTAAAGACTTCATCTAATTAGAAA